TGAACTAGTTTTTGGGTTACTTGCCTCATCCACCTGACTGCATTTGATCAAATAACCCTTTAAACAAAGCTATTTCTGCTGTTCTGCTCTTAATGTAACATTTTCGTCTTAAATTTATTTTCAGGTATGGCAGATTCCTGCCCTAAAAGTCAGTAGGCAAAGTTTTGTGAACTTGGTGCATGTAAATACTCATCACCTTTTCTAAAACCGCTAAAATTGCTTACTCTGGACTTAACTGCATTTTAGTTATGGTGCTCATGCTGCAGGCCATTGCCCTGGTGAAAAGTGTCCAGAGCTCAATACTCTGAACTGTGAATGGGCAATAACATGTGACAGAAGTCACATAACGATGAGCCACTCTTCCTCATGATGGAACCATGTCGACTCTCTTACCAAATGCCAATGTAATTTTAGATTCTTGCAAACTACTTATTTCTCTTGTATATATCTCTTTATTTTGATTTGATAGAAAAACAGCTTAGGATGATGTTCTCAACAAACACTTGCATAAATTATGTGTGGTTGAATTCCTACTTGTATAGATATGCTTTTTATTATGATTTTCCATGTAATTCCTGATATAATGGTTCTGTCTGTCTTGTATACTTCGATTTCTACTTTGTTGTATGCTCCTGTATTAGTGGTTTTTTGTATATAAGTGCTTAAACAATGAAAAACTTTTAAACATTCCATGACAACAGGGAAACCGTATTAGTGGCTGCAAGAGATATCCTACTTTCAATTTTTACTATCGCCAAGTCACAGTAAGTATAAATTCTGCATCTTCAAATATCTGGAGATAGACTTTGTAAATGCTGATGTGCTTAGAATATTAGAGTGAAAATTGGACTGACCTGAAGTTATAGCTGTTTATTGGAATAATTATAACAAATTTGATGCATTAAAACAACACAATGAGGTGACAAATTGAAATCCAAATCTCCGGTGAACTGTAAGTTACAAGATTCGCTCTTGTGAGTCGTGATCTGTATGAACTCTTAATTGAACGCTCAAGTAATATAACATAAGAACAATACATGATTTTTCGTATCAGTTGCCTGTACAATAAACAATGATTTAAAATTACAAAATTATAATAAAAGGATTTTGCTTTGAAAGTTTTGATCATACAAGAATGGCAGAATGCAGTGAATATGATACAAACTTGAACAAACTCTCAAGATATATGTAATGTGGGTCAGTGGGTGCAAAGAATTATGTTAAGCAATCTGAGAAATAAGGACATTAGTGTATAGGCTAAATTGATGTATGTCCTTGTCTAGCCAAGAACGCGACATAAGTTCGAGAACAGCTAATGACATCAACATGTTAAAGAAGTGCCATATAAGATTTTTCATAATAAGGCACTTTGTTCTTGATTTCGGCTTTTCGCCATCTACGGATCTGATTACTGGTAATTATCTCTTGTGAATGGTAATTATATCTAAAGGCTCAGCAATGTAAACATACTTACAGAAAGCAGGCCAAGTTTTTGCAAGGTTTATACTTTAGAATGCAAGAAAATAATTAGGCATGCTACTGTGGACCAGGTAGAAAAATATGCAGCAGCTTATAAGTGGGCTTTGCAGCAGGCCTTTTGGGCCGAAAACAAGCAACCAGCGAGTTATTTATTATGGGCTTTTTGATCAGAATTCGCTAATGAGGTAAGTCAAGTGTTAATGCATGTGTCTTTGGCTCTTTGCTTTATCAAGTGACACACAAGTTGTATAGCTCTTGATGTACGGAACATAAATGAATAATCCATAATTGAATCATCTTTATTTTACTGATAATGTATAAAGAGTAGTTTGGGTGAATAACAAAATTTTCGTCCTTTACTAATTTAGATAAATTGAAGGAAATTTTGATTTTTACCACCTTCAAATAACCACTTAATTGAATTTACCACCTCCAAAAAAAAGATTTACTTTACCACCACCAAAATTTCCAAAAAATCGATTTTACCACCAACTACCAGATTCCGTCCATGAATCCGTTAGTAGGGCCCACATTTTTTACGTTTCTTCCCCGATCTTCCATGTCAACCAACCAGCAACGAAATCAACTACCTCGGTTGGTCGGAATTTCGTGTGGGTTTCGCGTCTGGGTGGTGGTGGTTTCGAGTCGCGATGGTTTCGCGTCTGGCTGGCGTGGTTTCTGGTGGGTGGTGGTGGTTTTGAGTCGGGGTGGTTTCGCGTCTGGGTGGCGGTTGTTTCTGGTCTGGGTTTGGATGGTGGTGGTTTTGAGTCGGGGTGGTTTCGCGTCTGGGTGGCGGTTGTTTCTGGTCTGGGTTTGGATGGTGGTGGGGTTGGTCGTAGCTGTTAGGTGGTGGCTAGGGTTTTGAGGTCGGAAATTGGTGGAAAGGGGTAGAAATCGGTGCGGCTGTGGTGTGCGGTGCGGTGGTAGCGATTAGGTGGTGGGTTGGTCGTAGCTATTAGGTGTTGACTAGGGTTTTGAGGTCGAAAATTGGTGGAAAGGGGGTCGAAATCGGCGCGGTTGTGGTGTGCGGTGCGGTGGTAGCGGTTAGGTGGTGGGGTTGGTCGTAGCTGTTAGGTGGTGGCTAGGGTTTTGAGGTCAAAATCGGTGCGGTGGCTGTGGGTCCCGACGGTGGCTGGTAGCGATTAGGTGGTGGGGGCTGGTTGTAACGGTTAGGTGGTGGGGCTGGTCGTAGCCAGTCCGGCGGTGGGGGTCCCTATGGTGGCAGCAACCATCGGTTGCTTGATGGGGATTTTTTATTTTTTATTTTGTTTTTTTTATTTTTTTTTTAAAACTTAACCAATAATATGGCGACACGTGTGCAAGGTAGGCCCCACTAACGGATTTTTGGACGGAATCCGTTAGTTGGAGGTGATTGGAGGTAAAACTGATGTTTAATTTTTTTATGAGGTGGTAAAGTAAATGTTTTTTTTTTTGGAGGTGGTAAATTCGACAAAGTCGTTATTTGAAGGTGGTAAAAATCAAAATTTCCTAAATTGAATGCTTCTCTATTATATGTTACGGAGTACAGTATAACATTTTAAACTCGTCGAAAGAAAGGTAGTCTTTAGTGAAATTCAACTAAAGACATTGTCATGAATGATAGATATGACATAAAATAATCTTTCCTAATTTGGCCTAATCTTCTTATTCTATTCGATAACATCAACCTAAGGGAATAAGGAATCTTAACCCTATATCTAGTATTTCACTCACATGTTCACTAATCAATTTTAATTATTAAACATGCATGAAGACTAGTCTTCTCGCAAAGCTAGAACAAGAAGACCAGTAAATTATATTCGTACCCTATAAAATTAGCATCTACTTAACTAACCTCAAATTAATAAAACGGCTAAAAGCAAAACTTGAACTAACTGTTTTTTGTAGCCGAAAGTATACTATTCAATATATGTGACCTTAGCTTGCTTATGTCTATTAAAATTATTTATAACCTAAAGATTTTATGTATGTAGCACTAATAGCTAGATACTTCACTGTTATACTTTTTGACTTTTAGAGAGCACTAATCATTTTATAGATTCCAATTAATTAGTGGAGATACCCTTAGTTTAATTAATTTTCCATTACTTTTTTCTAAAACTTTCATATATGTTGACTAATTTGCACCAAATAGTCCCTCCATTTTGCAACTTCAGAGTCAAGATTTAAAATTATATATTTTTTTTTTCAAAAATAAAAAAATAAAAAATTCCTCATATCTCAAAGTAATCGTCGTAGGCTCCTAGCTAGACTTTTTCCACTCCCCTCAAGCAATATAGTCCTAACTATTTTATAAACGTGATAAAACTAACTCGTATCTAATTATTTAATTACTAAAGTTGAATTATATGATCCAAGCTATATGCCGAACTACGGAATTCAATTTTGAACTATACCAAAGCTCTTCCGACTGAAATTTTATTCGATAAAAATTTGAATACTAAACGAACCATAGATTATGACGACCCAATTCAAGCCAAATATCAAAGCTAGCTAACAACTCGATCAGCACCTAATATGACCCAAACCAAATAAAATATAAATCCAATTTGAAACCTTTAGATTTAGATTTGTAGCTTATAGTATTAGTAGGTCTTTTGACAGGTATGATTGTCTCTTACTTTAATTTCTAAGAGTTTGCAATATACTTGTATCTTATTTGTCTTTATTGTTTTCAGCTGTAACTGTAATGCGAATCTTCTTCTTCAATTGTCTATACTCTATAGTGACAAAGTGAATTATTCATTATATTACCAAGAAATAAAGATATGAGTGTAAAAGAGTTCTCAAATCTCTTACAAAATTGCATTATGAAATAAAATTCAAATAGAAAGAGTGATGGTGTTACTAATGTGTAGTTTAACGGGCTAGGCATTTTGAGAGTGAGTGAAAAATACTCCGCGAGTAACAAATAATTTTATAAAATTATGCATGCTGAAATCATACTGCAAGGTTGAAAATACGAGTACTCATAATAGTACGGTATTATGTTTGATGATACTGTACTTCACATTACATACCTTTTTCGATTTTCCCACTCAATAATTTCAAGAACGCACGCTATTAGATAAATATTATCTAGGTTAGTAAACCTAGAATCACAGTATGACCGTCAAAGATTTTTTTTTTTTTTTTTTTTTGTTAAAATTTTGAATCAATTCAAAAACATTTGTTCACCATGAAAATAAAAAAAAAAATAAAAAAAAAAATGTTAGGTATATTAGAAATAATTATTCATTTGTTCAATCATTTGGATATTGGTATCGTAGTAGCTAAGATAAGAAAGATCGAAAAATCGAAACGATTTTGATTTGGTACCTCACTGCTTGATTGATATAATGGTGTGTAATTGAATTCATTAAAATGTGGTAATGCAAATAATAGGTCTATGTCAAAAGAATGACAAGCTGTAATTATAATTGTATTGCAAGAAAGAACAATTTCACATGGTAGGAAATCATATAGTATAATTTTAATGAAATTATATCATATAGTCAAATATATATCACAAAGTCATCAACTTATTATTATAGTAGTAGTTATTTTTCTTAAATTTCACTCAACCATCATATTTCATGTACAACAACAAACTTAAATTTTGTACTATAGAAGTAAGTATTAGAATCAAGTACTACAAACTATACAAATTAAGGGTCAGATTTTTCTTAGAAGACCCTTTGATCGATCTCATCAATCAATGAGATCTCAAAATTCAATCCACCCATTTTTATGAGTTGAATTCTAATTAATAAAGTAATTAACAGCTAAAAATCAATCAAAGCAACCCCTTAGAAAATAACTCAAAATTACAAGTTAATATGGTACTATGATTGTAGATTATTGATAGGAGAACTACTTTTGTTGTTGAAGAAGAAGTTGGAGCATTCTAGCAAGGCTTTTGCATTCATTTCGCGCTCGAATCGCCATATGTAATTCAACCCAACTAGTAATTCTGTAATAGCAGCTTCAGTTTTGTCTTTGTTGGCAAAATGTAGTGTTTGTAACAACAAGACATTGGTTGATTTTGGCATTAGATTTTGTTGTTCGAAGCTTCTTTCATTTTGCCACTTGATCATGTTATGTGCTAATGGACCCAACCAAGTGAGGATTCGCCCGAGGGCGTCCCTCCACTCTGCGGCTAAAACGGGGTCGGTTGCTGAGAACCCGACCCCTTTTAGCCTGACGCGGAGGGAGGATCTTATGCTATTGGGGAGCATAGCATAAACATCCTCCCTCGCGTCTAACCCCACCAAGTGGGGTGACTTGATCATTTTCTCTAGGACAATGATCAAGTTAGAGTAGTGCAATGCCAAGGCCGCCGCCCCCAACGTAGTTGGGGGTGGCGTCAAGTCCTTGGTTCTAGACTCAAAGAACCCAACTCTATTTCCGGTCCCTGATCCAATTGTAGTCATCCTCTTGTTGAGGTGGAGTGGGGTGGATGTTAACGGCCCTGACACATAAGAATTATGATTGCCACTGAGATCCGATGAAGGAAATACAGTGGCCGAAGCAGAGAGACTTCTAGGAAGCGTACTTGGGTGAGGGTAGTAACTCTGTCCGATCCCAAATACAAACTTAATTCTTGCAAGGACAGTAAATATTAAACGAGCCAAAAGGAGGACAACGGAATCATAACTTCGGTTCCAAAGGGATTTCTCTTTCACGTACTTAATTTCCTGCTTTTGCCACACTACTTTCTGCTGGACCTCTAACGCACCTTCCGGAGGCGTTTTCTTTAAACTATTTTGTATCGAGTTTAGCTCCTCTATCTCCCGGTACAGCGCAGCAGTAGCTGCGATGTACCGGTCTATCCTCCGGACCAACCCTTCTAGGTCCTTCCCGCACAGGGCGGCCCAATTATAATTGTCCCGCCCTGTGCTGGCAAAATCCTCCAAACACTCCGAAAAAGACCGGAGTGTAGGATCCGTAGCACGGTCACTCAACCGTGCTACGGCCTTACAAATAACATGAAGATTCTGAACCATCTCGGCACACGCCAATCCAAGAAGGAAAGACTCGTCGTTAGAGACGATCTTTCGAACTCCTTCGAGGGCGATAGCCTCATTCTTAAGACGGACAATATTCTTATCAGATAAAGATTGGTGTAGCGCAAGAAGCTTAGAAAAAAGACCAGCAATCTCAAAAGCTAAAACGCCAACATTCCTAGATCTTGTTCTAGCAAGTTTTGAAGTTGGATGAATAAGTTTGTGAGAAATTTGTGATTTGAGTCTGCTTAACCAAGTAGTTTCTCTCGCCATTAGGAGGAGAGAGAAAGTAAAGATTTAATGGTATGATTGAGGAAATGAGTTATGGGAGGAGAGCTTATAGAAGAAGATAAGAGGAAGAAGAAATTAAAAGGGGTGATTGATTATTGGAGTGAAGAATGAAGGGGAAAAGGAGATAAATGAGCAAGTGGAAGCTCGTGGGATGTAGTGAAAGCACTAGAAATACAAGTTAAAATTGGAGAGAGAGAGAGAGAGAGAGAAAGTAATGAAGACTAAAACTAGAATCCACAAAATGAGAGTATGGTGAATGAATGTATTACATAGAGAAGAGGGAGAATGTGGGAATGGGGAGGGAGTTGGAGTGTTGAACCCACATGTGTGCTGCAATTGGATGGGGGTAACTTTGTCCTTTTGTGGGGCTTCGATTTTCCAAATCGCTTTTTATTTAGATATTACCTCTAATTCGCATTATATGCAATTTGAAAATTTTTTATATCTCACACATAATACACCAAAATTGCATATAATATAAATCGGATGTAGTATATATCTTCCGTTCTCAAATAAAAGTTTCATTTATCTTTAACTAAAGATAATATTATTTGAGGTTCAACTAATAGAAGGTGATTATATTATTTTAAAAGTGAATACTATAGGGGAAATAATGGAAGAAGATGGAAGTTTTGGGTGAAAATAGACTTTTAAAATTAAATTAAAAGAATTTGTTTGGGGTTTTTTTGTAAGATGTGTTATGGAGTAGTAATCACTAATTAGTAATCAGCTTTAAGAAGAGAGCGTGGAGTTTAGATAATCATGTCTTTTCATTTGCTTCAAAAATCAAAACCATTAACATTGGAAGTATTTTTAATATGCTGAATTGCTGGTGAGGGCCTGAGTTGAGGCTAAAGACGCAACCTTTTGGCACTAATTGCATGACCCAATGTGGTATTCATATACAAGTATAATACGTATGTGTTAGGTGATTGAGATGTAGGTGTTGTTTGATTATCGATTATTATTATTATAGTTTGACTTGTTTAATTAATTGGCGAATGTTTTTTTATTTAAAAAGATGTTTAATGAAATTTATTGATGGGTTAAATAATACTCATAGTATTTTTTATAAAACAACAAAAATCTCAATAATATAATATAAACGTTTCATAGTTTATTACGTTTTCAGTTTAATTGTTAGACTAGCTAGTAGCTTTAAAATCATCTAAAAAGTCTTTTCGAACATATTTTTGAGTCATTTAGAGTTTTTTAACGCTTAAAATAGTTCTAAACAAAAGCCAACAATCGATCAGAAAGCTAAGAAGGAACGATCACCAAAAACGACCATAGTGTAATCATATGAAACTTATTATATCTCATCTAGACAATCTAGTATGTATCTCAAATTCATAAAAGTTAATAGTTGACGTAATAGGAATATGATGAAATTGAAAGGCTACCTACTAATGTATCACCTTAGTGTTGAAGAAGTTTACCTTAATAATTAGCCAGTAGTTCAAATGGACTGAATATAATCAAGAACCCAGAGTTGTAAACAAGAAGTTTGGTGTTTCTCTGCTTTGATGGAGTAAAATTTCAAAATTCAATGATGCATGGTCAAACAAAAGATCAATTATTCATCAAAGACTTGTTGAAGCATCAAAAAAATCTCAAATTGTAGCTAAGAAATGATTGAAAAGCCATATCATGTGCATATATAAGCTGCATTTAACCAGACTTTCGTGTCTATATTGGTTCATGCATTCACTTAATTAGCTTGTCATATTCTAAAATGATCATCTATTACCTAGTACCTACAAACTAAAGGGATATGGTTTGAAGTTTGAACTCAATTACTCAATTATATGGTATTTGTTTGGTATATAATGTCTTGGGTCACTTGGTAATATAATTAAAGATTACTATCTCATTTCTTAGAGATTTGGAGTTCGAATATTGCTAAGTGATGAGGATGCTTGAGATTATTAGGAATAGATAATCTCCTTACCTTTTCGACAATATGTTCCTAATGAAATCCGTAAGAACTTGGGAGGCCTTTAAAATGATAGAAACCATATAAATTGTTTCGTAACTAATAATTTAACACGTTACAACTAGCCTCTTAGCTTGACATTGACTCTAGGGCTTCACAAGCCTTTATGTGACTAACTAGTGGGTATTCAGGTCTTCAAACAATATTATAAGACCGTAGGATGCACCCTGCTATTACTAGTTTTCGGCATTAAAATCCTTAAAAAATCTTCAAAAATGGTATGATTTCTTGAATTATATCCTTTAATTTTCTATTAATATCTTCCACGATCTGATCTCCAGACCAAGAAGACAAACATGTACTTTCAACAACCTTGCAAGTTAGCAAATTTAACAACAAAATAAATGACATGTAAAGAAGAAATGGCATGTAAAAGATAATTGTTGAAAAAAGAGAGTTCAAACCGCATGAACTGATGATCAAATTGGGAAACTAAGAGAAGTAGTAATAATACTAGTGTTGTCTTTGAGTTGCATGATATAAATGATAGCTTATGCTCCTGGGTAGGCTGCAAACTTTACAAAATGTCATGATAATTTCATAAAATTGGACACATTGCATGCTTTTATTTTTATTTTATTGTATAGAAAAATAATTTACAAGAGTGGTCCAAAATTTTCATGTCTTTGATATGTCTCCTCATGCGCCATACCCATGTTCTTCTATTTGATTGGCATCATGCATGGTTTTCTCTCTCTCTCTGTTAGTGTGTGGTCAAACAATCAAGTAATCTAACTACCCATTTGCATTTGTAAATAAGTAAACGAAAATGACATATACAGTCTTCACAAGGGTTCTAATAAATAAGAAGCGAAATCACATGTATGTTGGTTGATTAAGTATTAATAGATCGGCAAGTGATTCTGTTATACGTTTAATTATATAGTAGTATATAATATCATATCCGTTATAAAATGTATTTATTGTTTAATTTTTATTTTAAGAGTTGCATATATAATAAGGAAAATTTGCAAATTGCAGCCATTTAAAAATAAAATTGCAAATTGCAGTCCAAAAGTTCATATAAATTGTAAATTGCAGCCCGATTCAACTTTTTCATCGGTTTACAAGTTGAAAAATCTTCGATTAGGGTTTTAGGGGCCATTTTAGTTCTTAGGGGACCGAATCGAGCTCGGAATTAGCAAAAAAATAACGCAAGTATCTCGTTTTGCGTAACAAAAATGTATCGATTTGTGGGAAACTGTAAATATGAGACACTTAAGTTATTTTTTTGCTGATTCCGAGCTCAATTTGGGTCCCTAAGGGCTTAAATGACCCCTAAAACCTTAACCAAAGATTTTTCAACTTGTAAGCCGATGAAAAAATTGAATCGGGCTGCAATTTACAATTTATACGAACTTTTGAACTGCAATTTGCAAAAAAAAAATTAAATGGCTGCAATTTGCAAAATACGAACTTTAAATGGCTGCAATTTTATAATAAATTAAAAGTAAATTTTTTTTGTAGTAATAAAGGGGTAAATAATTAGCAAAATTAATAATGATTAAAGTAGGTGAGCTCTTTTGTTTTGGAATAATCTGGCAATCAGTATCATATCGCCTGCGCATGTGCAAAGTGACATAATTAATTCGCCAATACTTATTTAACAGTAAATTACAAGAAGATTTCAACGAAATATTATTTTATATGCTGATTTTATGTGACTAGATTATCTGGTGATTGAATATAGCAATTTTTAATTAGAGGATTATATCACCCTTAAAGGCTTAAACTTAGTTAACATCTATTTGCTTATATTATAGTCCTTGAACAAGGAGTAATCATATGAAATTTCGCTATTTCACATAGAACAACTGTTTGTACAAGTAGAATTTGTTATAGAGTGCACCGTACATCTAACTAACTCAAGATTAGTTTTTGCTATTTATTTGATGATTAAATAGAAAATAATCATCAAAATGAGAACAAAATACTCATTGGTATACGGTGCACCCATGTATATATAACAATCTCTCTTGTACAAGTACAACCATATTACAGAGTAAGTTTAAATCAGGGTATAGTGATAAAAATGGCATTTGTAACTTTTTAACGGGATCAATTATGAATAGTAATTAGTTTATAGTTTAAAATTCTTCTACTTATAATAATATAAACTAACGGTCAAATGTAATTATGTTTATTTATGTACTCCATGATAATACAGTACTCCGTAATGTATTACTAGGATTATAATTAGACAGTGATATAATTAGTTCGAAAGAGGCTGTCCAATTTGTTTACAAAAGAGAATTAAACAAAGAATTTACTACTAGTTAACAGCTGTTAAAATAAGATTAAATTAAGAAAACCCCCTAAAAAAGGCAAGAAAAGAGAGGATCCTTGTAAGTGAAATTAACCTTTTGCCTACCAATGGAAAGGCAGTAAAGTTGTGAATTTGTCCACTTGTCGGATCAGGAATGACATCCATTTTCATTTTTTTTAATCTTGCCTTGAGTGCTTCGTGCTTGTACTCCCATTCGGTTTTTTTATTTTTATTTTTTTTTTAAAAAAAAAAATTAATAATAATTTAAGCACATTTGACATTATTTAGACTAATGGAAAATAAAAATATATAATCCATTTTATTTCTTAATTAAATCCAAAGAACTACGAGTACATCTTTAAATGGACAAAAATGGTCTAAAAGGCTAAAAATGGACAATATAAACAAAGTACAAAGTATTAACATATATATATAAGTGTTATGGTCATGAAAGAATTTCTAAAATAGTTTTGTATACATTATTATGATGAGTTAATAACCAACTTTGAATCCCTTGTAATTTTGTAAGGATTTAGCTAGCTAGTAATCTACTATTCACAAAACCAAATAAATATTGGAATTATCAATAAGCGTATGTATCATACATATTACTCGTAACAGTTCAACACATAGTCGTACATACTCAAAAAGTGTGACGCAAGCAATATTCATACTTATTGTCCCGAAAGGTACAACTTGTAATGTGGAAGAATGTAATGTACTGAGTACAAGTAGTGTATCAGTCCCTTTGACCCATGCATCGCCACTATATAAGTTGTTCATATCAATGAAATTCTTAAGGCGGAGACAACGGGATATGCAAGTAGATGTAATAAGAAGGTTAAAAAGGCATTTTTCAACAATCCAAATGCATCTTAGCTTGTTCTTGAGAATCTATAATAGTCGACATTGCATATATTATTTCGACGAGATCTCTTTCAATAATTATTGGGAAAAGAAGCCTTACAAATATTTTTAATCCTTTCGTCTATGAATATTTTTGCATCAGTGTCCTCTTGACATTGGTCAACATTTCATAAACTAAATTGGTTGTT